CTAAGAAGCCCGAGCATCTCCTCAAACCTGCCATTATCTCTCTCAGCTCTCGGCCCAGTGACTCCTCATGCCGAGAAGATCTCATCCTGAGAGATGGGAACGCTGCTAGTGCCAGGGAATCAGAGCCGTTGGAACAACTCCACGCTCAATAAAGCACTGTTTGGTTTTCAACATTAGAAAAACACTTTCTCCCCTACACACACATGAGGGAGCTCGATCTGTGAGGACTGTTGGACTGTGTCGACTAACATACTGAAGAAGACAATGTGTTATTCGATATTACATTTAAAGTCAATGTATTTTAAATATAATAAATTGCAGCTTCAGCATTACATATGAGTGATTATACATGACATTCAAGTTCCAGTCGAAATGAAATTAACGTAGGCAATAGTTTGGTTTAGGGGCTGTTTACACGACACCGTTTTCAAGTAAAACCGTAAAACTTTTTATGCATTCTGGCCGCTCAATTACATGACAACTGCGTTTTGGGTGCTTGAAAACGCAAACTTTTGAAAACGAGTTTCAAAGTGCAAGTTTTTGAACACGATCTACTTGTAAACTAGCCTGGGAAAACGGCAAATTTAGATTTGCTCTGAAAGTTAGTCTGGCAAAGAGCTCATTCAAGCCCATTTCCCATCCGTCGAAATCGAGGCACCAATCAGAAACGTTGGGGCGGGCTTTACACGATGATGACAGCGCTGGGATTTTGAAGCAGATTTTGTAGCCTACATTACAAAGATGGATGCCGCCGTCGAACATCACTCGTTCCAATCAGCTATCACGTCTGTTTTAAGCCATTTGAACGTTTCCTTTTTGTTAAAAACCAAGCAAAGAACAACACTCGGAGATGTTTCTCCGCCGCTCTGCATACGTCATCTCCTTCATCGCTCTGATTGGGTTTAGGTCTATCCGCGACGTCCGTTGGTGACGCCCCTCTGGAAATGATTTGTCTATGACGCTTTGCCAGACCATAACTCAGTTACAACTGGTTTTAACCAGGCAACTTGTAAACAACAAAAACGTGAATCTCTGACGACACATGTGTATTACGTGTTCAGTCTATAGTGTTTCATCGCCATCTGATGGCCTGGCAGCAGAATACAGCGTTTTTTGTCGTTTACGCAGATCCGTGTGAATTGGGATTGTTTTGACAATGGTGTCGTCTGTACGCGGAAAACTCAAAGGAAAAACTTCTCAGTTTTAAGCATATCGTTGTCGTGTAAACCTACCCTTAGTTTGCACTTAAGTATATTCTTTCAATGCATATCATTTCTGTAAAAAGCACTGTTTTTTATAAGTATGCTAAAGTGTATTAGCCTACTTTCCCCCCTCCCTCTGGCCGAACATTACAGGGCCAGACTCTATTACAAACAGGATAAATTTGATATCTGGAGAGTGAGCTGAAAACAGCATTTAATCTTGTTAATACACATCCTGAGCAAAAGGCTGCAGAAATTATAGGCCATTAACATTGATAAGCAACTCTGCCAATGGTCATCCTGCAATGGTCCATCCAACCTTTATAGATCAGGGGAGTAGCAGACATTGATCAACCCCAAATTGGATTTTAAATGGGGTTTCAGAGAATCGAGGAAATGGGAACAAAGGGACGGGATGAATGGCTAGTTGGTTGATCAGTGGTTTCACTGAACTGGTGCGGATAAAAACCCCTCAGGGATCGTTGGACCAGCTAAAAAAAACATACTGACCACCTTAACGACCCTGTTTTTCCATCCGGACAATCAAATTCATAAGGCAAACTTCACAAATGGCCTAAATATTTTTTAGTATTAGTTTATTTTATGTATATAGTGTGCAAATAGAGACCTTTTTACATCATAAAATATTCATACACACAATATGAACTGAATTCCTCTGTACTGTACTATAGAAATATTTGGAGATGGATATTGCACAGTATGATCAAAGGGAGCGTGAGCATGTTTTGTACCGCGTTTAAATTGTGTCTTAAGGTTTGGAGGATTGATGTCACACTTCATACGGACCCCAATATGAGGCAATCAACAGTAGCTCTCACTGTACTCTTTCATCTCTCTGCTCTCTCTTGTTCTGCCTCTCTGACTCGACTGTTTACCGAGGTTAATCCCCGGAGCGCACAGCGTACTCATAAACTCAGATATACGTCAAGAACGGGCTTGAATGCCTTGTCTGATAATACAAACGTCCTTTTAAATATTCCCCATTGCTCTTCCACTCAACATTCCCAATTACTGGCTGACAGTTCAAATCCTTCCTTCAGGAATAATCTCACAGGCACTTTTTAATTGTCAAGAGCAAAACATATTTTTCAGTTAAAATAACCTCTGGTTCCACAAGCAACTAGTTTGATTAATGAAGTCATCGTGTGAGGATGGCAACTCTGGGGATGCTTACATTCAAGCCAATGTATGTGGTAATTATTGTTATGACACTCACTGGAAGGCAATTATTAGTGGTGTTTACTAAGGAAAGCAACACCATTAAAATCGCTCATTCTAACGCAGTGGTCTCAAACTCGCGGCCCGCGGGCCATTTGCGGCCCGCAGGGTGATAGTTTGTGGCCCCCTACTTGACATTAAAGTTTAATGTTAGTGCGGCCCGTCGTTGCGTGTGCCGCGTTTAAAAAAAAAAAAAAAAAAAAAATTGTATCCCTTATGGGCTACCATAGATAGTCTCGTGACACGGTGGGTTTGTTGTCAATAGTTGTCATAGACAACCGCGAAGTACAAACATACTGCGCCTGGAAAAAATGAGCGCGTCGCTTCAATTATGAGCGCGCTTGCCGCGCGCCTACATTTGAAATAACGAACTTGAGCGCGCAAAATATGTGAGCGCGATATGTGAACGGCCCCTTGGCGAGCTGCCACCAATCAGGCCACGAGCTACTGATAGCTCGCGAGCGACGTGCTGGAGAGAGACCCTGCTCTAAAACAATGTGAGAATAATCATTTTGAGCTTGTAACTCAAATTACTGACTGCACAAATCAAAGCAAACCTTCTTATGAACCTGTTGGACACATTATGTGTCCAACAGGTTCATAAGAAGGTTTGCTTTGATTTGTGCAGTCAGTAATTTGAGATACTATACATGTGTAGAAAGAATTCAATAAGACGGGCAGACATGACTGCAAATATTTGTATTTCAAAAGCAATAATTGTTTTTCTAAGTATAATAAAAGGAAATGTGCCTTCAAAAAAAAAAAAAACATTCAATATCATTAATGTGTTGTATAAAGAAAATAATAAGGACATAAGCAGATATAAATATCACAAATATGTGTTATAGACAAAGAAAGTTTGTAAAAATGAACTTCAACTGTCAGAAGGACAGCTCATAAAGAACCAATCATGTACAGAAAGGAATGTTCAAATTCAGAGGAACAGTTCAGAAGAAACGTTAATAATAAATATTGAGAAGATTGGATCAGTTGTGCTCCTTTTTTGGAATACTTGAATACTATTTTTTTGTGGAATACTTGATGCGGCCCAGCCTGACCCAGACTCTACCTCCAGCGGCCCCCAGTTAAGTTGCGTTTGAGACCCCTGTTCTAACGGTTAGGGATTTGAGCAAACCATTACTTTGTTCGTATTCTGCACTTTTTGTGTTTAGACAAGAATGATTCATCAAATTAAATGTCTTGCTTTTCTTTTCTAAGCAATCTGGACAATTAAACAGGTGAAAAAGGGTAAAACCAGTTGCATTGAAGGAGGAACGTCTCATATTTCTCACTTGAGAAAAGAATTTCTTTCTTTTCTCTTTTGGTTTGCAAACCATGGAAAGCACCACTCACAAATATAGTGCATAATCAATTTTTGAGAAGTTTACATGGAGAAACTGTAAAAGGAGTACAGTCTTTCCACACCTTTTGGCAAATGAAATTCCTTGATTTTTCTTTGACATTCCCAGTCGTTCGCAATCGGCTGATATTGAGTTGTATAAATTTGAATAATTTAAAGGGTTAGTTCACCAAAACCTTAAAATTCTGTCATCATTCACTGACCCTCATGTCGTTTCGAACACAAGACTCGTCATCACTGAAACACAAATGGAGATATTTTTATTGAAAGTGAGATTTCTGTCCCTCCATTGAAAGTCCATGTAACCAAAACTTTTGTTTATTGGTTCTCAGGTGTCAAGAAAGCACGTTTAATGCGCTCTCTGTACTTTATGTGTTGACCAACTAAATCTGTTCATCATACAAAGCGATCATGTCATCATTCGGAAGACTTGGATTAAATTGCTTGAACTTTCAAAGTTTTGGTGGAGGGAGAGGTTTCAAATTGTCTAAGGTTTGAAAATACCTTCATATGTGTTTTGAAGATGAACAAAAGTCTTATGGGTTTGAAACGACATGAGGATGAGTGGGTGAACCTTTAATACCACCATTAAACTTAGAAAATATCATATAAATTAATTTATAGTGCCCAAATTCAATTGAAGCATATAAAACAACTGATTTTTAGTGTTTTATTTTTAATAATTTAGACGAAATAGTGAAAAATATGAAAATTATTTTCCAGGCCTGGAAAACTCGCTTATATTTCCAGGGTTATCATGGTTGTGGAAAACCAATGGTAATTCATTTCCTTTGGATACCCCGCAGCCAATGAGAATGAATCCTGAAAAAGTGTCTTAGGTCTAATCTGTGAACAGCCTGGCAATGTTTCTCAGGAGAGAGGTGTGAGAAAGATATTGTGTGTGTGTGTGTGTGTAGATGGTTGCAGTCTTGACTGGCATTTACACCTCTCAGGCGGGCGCCGTCACTGTAATTATTTCCTCGGGCATCTGGGACGGGACGGGGCTGAATGCCAGCAGACGTACACGGAGAGCGATCCCTAAAAGTGGACACTGCTGCCACAGCGGGACTCAAAGCTCATGTTCGTCACACTGGCAACACACCGAGGAATCAATGACCTGTTAAGCTCTGGATCTATTAATAGCAGTGTCTCCATCCACCCCGGACATCTGTGAAGACAAAACTGATTCAAATCCCTACCTGTCCTCAATGAGCTGGTCTCTGTGCATCCATGTGACGGAGGCTGTGGGATATCCCGTCACCACACAGGGGAGCAGCACGCTCTCCCCCACGACTCTAGACACTGGTTGAGGCTCCAGGAGAAACTCCAGGGTCCTCTCCTCTCCGGATTCTGCACAACACAGAGAAGTGAACGCAGTCAGTGTCTGTCCATGTGCAATCACTTGACACAAAAAAAAAAAGTATAAATAAAAATAAATAAATAAATAAAAAATAGATCAATTAAATTAAATTAAAAATATATATATAATAAAATAAATAAATAAAATAAAATAAAATAAAATAAAAAGTATTGCATTAGTTATTTCTTCTAAATCCCATTTCAACCTTGACCAGTTGAACAATACAAGGATAAACATGAAGCTGCTCTTTTAATTCTATCAAATAATTGATATAAAATTGCATAATTTATTCTTCTCCCTATTTAACGGGAGAAGGTTGCATTAAAAACATACATTTTAACATGACGTTTAATTTGATGTTAAATCCACTAGTTTTATATATAATTGTTCTATAGTCTATACAATATTTAATGCAACTACATCAGAAGTAACTGTAAATAAAGTAAATAAAAATTAAGAGTAATCCCTTACTTATAAGTAATAAAATTACAGTAATTAATTACTTAGTAATGCATGACACCCAACACTGTTAACTATTAAAGTCACCACGAAATCAAAATTGACGATTCTTGTTTTTTAATGGAATGTTGCATTATTTACCATAAATGATTTATCAGTGTGCACATCATTATTTTTAATCATCTGGACTCAAAATATCTTCCCCTCCATCTCTTCTCTGATGACGAGGGCGGGGCAACCTGTCACTCATATGAGATCAGCCAATAGCAAACCACAACCATCCAGTCAATGCCCACACAAACTAAATTAAGCCCCTCCCTACATTTGTTCTTGTTCAAGAAGTCATTTTACTCGGATATAAGTCACAATAAAGAAGAAAAGACAATCCAACTTCTTTAAGGTTATGTTTCAAGTCCATGGGGTCCAATGTTGTTTGGTTTCCCAACGTTTTGTTCCACAGAAGAAATAAAATCATAGAGGTTTGCAACCACATGAGGGTGAAGTAGACAGAATTTTTAATTCTTAAGTCTTCTTAAGAATGAATTTAACACAATTTGGGCTTTTTCTTTTTGCTTAAAAAGTGGGCTAAGATAAAATATCAGAAAAACACAAAAGGCATGACGCTCAAACAAACAGCAATGTTTTAAAAGTGCCTTTCCTTGGGCATCTTCTAAAATTACTTTTATAATTTTTTAACATTTACTGTATAGACAGTATACACTTAACCTTTTAGGCTCAAGCTCTTACATTTTTTTTTCATTTAAATGTTTTTCAAAACAGCTTCTTTAATACTCATTGTTTATTTATCTCCGCGAGGGAAAAAGAAATCATTTTCTTTCTCTCTTTACATATCACTGCTCATGTTTGGTGTGATACCCTCAGCGGGCGACGGGCTTCAGGCCTGGTTTGCGTTCTGCCTGGAAAAATAAATCTGCCTGCTGAGTATCTGCCACAAAGCAGCTCCGTTCTCCTTAACTTCAGCATAAATTACATTGTTCTCTTTGATAACACCACATGTGGCCGTCCTGCTCCAGGAGGCTTCCTTTAAAACTCTCTCTCTCTCTCTCTCTCTCTCTCTCTCTCTCTCTCTCTCTCTCTCTCTCTCTCTCTCTCTCTCTCTCTCTCTCTCTCTCTCTCTCTCTCTCTCTCTCTCTCTCTCTCTCTCTCTCTCTCTCTCTCTCTCTCTCTCTCTCTCTCTCTCTCTCTCTCCAACTGTGTGAGTTTCAGTAGGGTATGAAAAATCACATCAGAATCAGTGTCTTGCATTTCTATTGTCAGGAATGAAGGGAAATTGGCCTTTCCTCCTACGAGCTTTTGTTCTTTTAAGGAGGAAAAAAATTTTTTGGACAGACCCAACTGAATTTATGTTTGTCATGGATTTAAAACTTTTAATATAAAGGGTTATGAATACATTTTTTTTAAGTTTTAAAGACAGTACATTTCATGAAGTGTGTATAGCGCTTCATATAGCGCAAAATGTTGGCAAAGTTTCAAAGATCATTGATCAACAATGCATGCATTTCCAAAGGATAAGGATTAAGACTCAGGCTCAAACGGATTGTTCTACTCTGTTCTGATTGGTCAGATGACCAACGATGATGCCGTTTTACTGTATCAATTTGATCCGGAGTCATAATCCTTATCCTTTGGAAGTGCATGCAAAGTGGATCTACGACCTTTAAAACTTTGCCGACCTTTTACATTTACAATCATCTCATTTAGAGCAGAGTAGACCAATAAAAAAAAAACACTGGGCAATCTGACCAATCAGAGCAGAGTATGCTCTCGGAAAGGCGGGGTTTAGAGAGGCTGAATCCTTTGTCGAGCCTTTTCAGACACTGTGAGAAAAGAGCTGATGCTGCAATATATATATATATATATATATATATATATTATGAGAAAGTTAAAGTATTTTTGGATCTTGGATGCATGAAAACTTATTGTATGAGACCTCAAAACTAAATTAGGAATCTTTAAAATAGCACAATGGGGTACTTTAAAAAGGATCCTCATGAAGTTGATGTATAGAAAGCCCCGAGTGTGCAAAGCGGTGATGTAGAATAAATGTGGCGACTATGAACAAGCTCAAATATATGATGCATATTAAAAGATGCTTATTTGATTGAATCTCATTACATATCTTAAGAATCTTATGATACACTTTACAGAAATTTACTTCCCAAATAAATGTATCTTGTTTTTTTTAAGTACGTTTAAATATTTTAGACAAAATACTATATGAAGAAGCTCAAATATAAGATTATTCGATAACACTTTACAATAAGGTTCATTTATTAAACATTAGTTAATGCATTAATTAACATGAACTAACAATGAGCAATGCATTTGTTAAAATATTTATTAATCTTTGTTAATGTTAGTTAATAAAACATACTGTTCATTGTTTGTTAATGTTAGTTCACAGTGCAATATAAGGTATTAGTAAATGTTGAAATTAATATTAACTAAGATTAATAAATGCTATTGTTCATTCTGAGTTCATGTCAACTAATGTTAACTAATCAACCTTATTGTAAAGTGTTACTGATTATTACATTGAGTTATTTCACAATTATAATGAACTTAATATTATTCTAAAATATAATCAAAATTCTAAATGTTAAATCACACAAAGCAGTCAAAATGTAAACAACAACAACGAAAACACTTTGGGTCTCATTCATGAAACACGAGCAGAACGAATTTTTATGTAAATCGTGTGTAAAGTGGTTCTGGCGGAAATTTTCGGATTCATTAAAATGTTCGTATTTTCCAAATGTTAGTTGGTACGATAGAAATCTACACCTGCTCCCAGCCACGCGTAAATAGTGAGTTTAACATCCGAACGTTTTGCTCATTAATAACTAAGGCTGCATTTTAATTCACCTTAATCGGGTACATATTTAAACAGCATTTTGAAAAAATATTAGTGATTACATACGGTTTTTCTTTTTACTTCTGGGACTGTTTGATTAACAGATGAAACTCCATTAACTGCATCTGTAATATGCTGCCAAGCTTCCTTTCTTTAGGACCTGATACGCCACTATGTACACTAGAAAATAAAATGTGGTGTTTTGAACGAACTTCTCATAAAACTTCGATTTCTGCATCTGAGAAATTTTTCTTTTTCATTCGCTTTTGAGAAGACATGTTGAAATCCTTCGTTTGGTGTCATAATTTGATGCCCATATATCAGAGGTCTCAAACTCGCGGCCCGCGGGCCATTTGCGGCCCGCGGGGTGATATTTTGTGGCCCCCTACTTGACATTAAAGTTTAATGTTAGTGCGGCCCGTCGTTGCGTGTGCCGCGTTAAAAAAAAAAAAAAAAAAAAAAAATGTATCCCTTATTATGGGCTACCATAGATAGTCTCGTGACAGCTTACGGTGGGTTTGTTGTCAATAGTTGTCATAGACAACCGCGAAGTACAAACACACTGCGCCTGGAAAAAATGAGCGCGTGCGCGTCGCTTCAATTATGAGCGCGCTTGCCGCGCGCCTACATTTGAAATAACGAACTTGAGCGCGCAAAATATGTGAGCGCGATATGTGAACGGCCCCTTGGCGAGCTACCACCAATCAGGCCACGAGCTACTGATAGCTCGCGAGCGACGTGTTGGAGAGAGACCCTGGCCTGCTCTAAAACAATGTGAGAATAATCATTTTGAGCTTGTAATATGTGTCCAACAGGTTGATAAGAAGGTTTGCTTTGATTTGTGCAGTCAGTAATTTGAGACACTATACATGTGTAGAAAGAATTCAAAGACGGGCAGACATGACTGCAAATATTTGTATTTCAAAAGCAATAATTGTTTTTCTAAGTATAATAAAAGGAAATGTGCCTTCCAAAAAAAACATTCAATATCATTAATGTGTTGTATAAAGAAAATAAAAAGGACATAAGCAAATATAAATATCACAAATATGTGTTAAGAAAGTTTGTAAAATGAACTTCAACTGTCAGAAGGACAGCTCATGAAGAACCAATCATGTACAGAAAGGAATGTTCAAATTCAGAGGAACAGTTCAGAAGAAACGTTAATAATATTGAGAAGATTGGATCAGTTGTGCTCCTTTTTTGGAATACTTGAATACTATTTTTTGTGGAATACTTGATGCGGCCCAGCCTGACCCCGACTCTACCTCCATCGGCCCCCAGTTAAGTTGAGTTTGAGACCCCTGCCATATATAGTTGTCAGTCGGATTCAATGGGCGGGATTTATGGTAATTGAGAATGAGCGTGCACGTGCGTCCCATTTACGACTGATTGGAATTCATTAACACACACATTTCACTATCACATCTGACGTTTACGAAGTATTTGTGAATCAGGAGAAGAGTTTTCGGGAAGGTCTCTTTACGCGCAAATCACTCGCATATTTACTCGTATATTTACGAATGTTTCATGAATGAGACCCATTGAAATAATTCGAAACATTATGTTTGTGTGATTCTAAATGGAATAACCGGGCAGTTATAAAAAAAAAAAACGTCCATTGGGAAATCAATCTAAATGTTCAATCACACAAAGCAGTCAAAATGTAAAAAAAAAAAAAAAAAAACATGTCCGTGAGGAATATTGATGTGATTGTAAACGTGATATCTACCCGGCAGAACGTGTAAGTGCGCCTCTTCGCTGGTCTTGATGGGTCCGGCGTTCTCGATCACGCATCGGTACAGGCCCGTGTCGGCCTCGCTGGAGTTACTGATGACCAGAGCTCCACTGGCCAGCGCAAACACTCTCTGATCCAGCTCCAGCGGCTCCTTGTTTCCTTCCCAGCGGACGAAGGGCACCAGGTCAGGGTTGACCTCGCAGTTCATCACGTGACTGTCCCCGACCCGCACCGACGCCGCTTCCGGCTGACTGAGGAACCGCGGTATTCCTGAACACAGAGAGGAAGACATTAGAATTATTACAGTCAATGCACTGATACTACATTTCTCCACCGATTATTCAGAATGACTACCAATACTGAACGTTTTGGTTTGATTTTATTAAGGGAACAAATATCTCCAAACTGATGCTGTAAACTACACAGGAAAACCCTCTCGTGACATTACTATAATATTAGAGGTTCAAATCAACAACAGAACACAAACTATTATATTCAATTGGAATTTATGTATTACACTAAAAAAGAAAAAAAAGTTTGTATACAACTTAGTTTTCATAAACACTTCTTCATGACGAATTTATTCAAACATAACTATATAATCAACAGTAAATAATCTCCTCTTTAGTGTTTTTATAGCTAACTAACAAAGTGGACAGTGAATAACTTTAACCCAATGTTAAGTGTCACTGTTCACAAGTAGTTTTATTGAAGTCTTTCTGCAGTTGAAACACTGATTGAGCGATTACACGAGTGTACAGAATCTTTCAGCATAACTGTTGATGTTCATGCATGTTTTTTAATAGTATAACTTGGTTTAAAGTGGAAGAAAAGACTCTTGAACTGAGGCGCTACAGCGATCTGTCACGACACATTTAAGAGCGTCAAAACGCCATTTATTGTTTGAATTTTGAATCTGAAAGATGAGACATTGTTTCAAAGCTCTTGGCGGTTATTGGTTACAAATAATGTTTAGTCCGATAGTTCACTTGCTTGGTCCGGACCAAATTATTATTATTTTTTTTTGGTACGGTTCGCTTTCACACTGCTCTTTTTGCAAGTGATACAAAATTTGTAAACAAACCCACACGTGTGCTAAGGTCGTCCATTCATTGGACAAGGATTCTCAAGTAATGTTGCCGAAGTTTTTTTACTTTAACGCAGCACCCGAGTTCGATTGCTGTATTCACACCTGCCCAAAAGGTCCGCACCAAGGGGGGAAACGAACTAGAGTTCAATTCAATCGAACCAAACAAGGCAGGTGTGAATTCACCCTTATAAGTTCATGTGCACTTTAACCCACGGGCATATGCTTCTGTCCAAACTATCTGATTCATAACTTTGATTCAACTATTAATTGACATCATCACTCAATATTTTCAGTCCCTACATGGCATTTTACTTATACAAGTACTTAACACTTTCTTTTTATGGCATTTGGTTCTTAATAAGTCAAATTATACAAACAAGAAGTGCAAACCTGTATTGCTGTTTATTATTGATAATATCCTGGATTGTTATATTGGTGCATATAATTAATTTAGTGAAAAACATTTTATTTTATTTTTTACTTTTTGCATCAAACGTTTTGAATCTACTTGGTTCCAACGGCTATTGATCGTATTGTCATCATCATTACTCCAGTCTTCAGTGTCACATCTTTCAGAAATCATTCAAATGATGTTGATTTGCTGCTTTATCAACTTTTAAATCCGTTGTGAGGCTTAATATTTTTGTGGAAACTGTGATTCCTTTTTCCCCAGGATTCTTTGATAAATAGAACAGCATTTATTTAAAATCGAAATGTTTCTGTAACAATTTAAAAGTCTTTGCTGTCACTTTTGATCAATTTAACACATCTTTGCTGAATAAAAGTATGAATTTTTGTAAATAACTAGCCGAGATCTGCAAATGAAAATGCATTTCACATCTAATGCCAACATGCTCCTTTTTCCACAGCCGTAATCTCATGCTGGGCAAAGTGAATGAAATATCTCTGAGATATCAAATAACTCCTGGAAAGCAAATGGCTTGCAGAGACAGATGAAAAAAACCCTGGAGAAGTCATGGACTGAACAGGACACTTCTGATCAAAAACACTCCAGAAGGGCTGGGGTTTATTTTATTTTATTCTTTAAAGCAACACTAAAGAAGATTTTTTACCTTAAAATAATGTTTCCAAGACGGTTTCAGCGGTTCATCGAGTGGTAACAGGGTGAAAGGCACTTCTGGGTTTGCTTTGCGGTCCTATATCTGCTATAACCACGCTATGTAAGATTGCCAGATCGGGTCGCGTTTCTGTAGTTCAAATGAGACATAAGAAAACTACAAATTTGACTTGCTTTACGTCAAGCGTCTAGTCATTATTTATGGTTCGTTCAAGTCGTCCTGGGAAGTTCGTACGTAGTAGCCTACGAGGTGTTTACGACGGCGTTCAAGTCACTTTCGTCGGAGTATGCGTCGAACTAAAGCCCAATTTATACTTCTGCGTCGACCTTCCGCCGTAGCTACGTCGTAGGCTGTGTGTAGCGCGCGTACCCTTCGGCATACCCTGACGTGCACCTCTCCAACAATGTAACAACGCGTCAATTCTACGCGTACCGCAAGCGCTGTGATTGGTCTGCTAGAACCGCTCTCCGGCTTTTACACGCTCCCTCTGTATGTGTAATTGCGCGTCAACGTGGACAACGACGCAGAAGTATAAATGAAAACCAAGGCGTAGTCTATAGCGTAGAGGCTCCGGCGTAGGTCCGACGCAGAAGTATAAATCAGCAAGATGGCGGTGTACTTTCTCTTAATTAATTACACAAAAATACAGCAAGGTTCTTAAACTCTTGTTCTAGAAAATGAAGAACAGAGAAATGTGCATCAGGTGTAGGCTACTTTGTTTTTTTAATGTTTTTAATTAATGTACGAAGCCACTGCCAACTTTATCCTTACATGTTGCATGTTGCATGTTGCAAAGAATATGATGGCGTTATATTATAATGCCATCATATTCTGTGCAGGCAATTAGAAAAGCCTGACATTATCACTGCTAAATTCCTTTAAGTATTATGGTAGTCCGCCATGTTTCTCACTGACACGCACACAACTCGTGAAGATCGGGGCTTAGAGAAAATCCCGAGCTTCCCACTCGTAAATATTTACGACATTGTGGGGGCGTTCAAGTTCAAGTCATCTCGTATAGATCGTATTTACGAGTTGAACGCACTTAAACGTCATTAGTTTTTCTTTGTTTGTGACGTTTGTGACGTGTGTTTTCTTTGACACACGTCAGCAGCGTCTTACGTCAGCGGCGGCACTGAACGCGGATCCACAACAGAACCGGAAGACAATACAATGCTGAATAAAGTCCTAGTTTTTGTTATTTTGGAGCAAAATGTATTTTCGATGCTTCAAAACACTCTAACTAACCCACTGATGTCACATGGACTACTTTGATGATGTCTTTATTTCCTTTCTGGACAAGGACAGTATACCGTACATACATTTTCAATGGAGGGACAGAAAGCTCTCGGACTAAATCTAAAATATCTTAAACTGTGTTCTGAAGATGAACGGAGGTCTTACGGGCTTGGGACGACATGAGGGTGAGTCATTAATGACATCATTTTCATTTTTGGGTGAACTAACCCCTTAAGTATGGTAAGAGTGAACGAGCTGCTTTAGCATTAGCATCGCCGCTAAAGCTCAAAACAGAGACCCATGCAGGTGAACATAAAGACTCATGTCTTTGTGAGGGACAAGGAGAGAAAAGTGATGTGGATTCCTTTGTCTGGCGTTAGTCGGTTACAGACATGCCATGCTCTCGCTCTCTGTTAATGTGAAAGAGCATGCAGTGAGAGATGCTATCAGCGCTGAACAGAGAACAGCATTCATTCATCTCCACAGGCTCTGCTTTATAACAGCAGACAGAAAGCTTTCACAGAGCACGCTGAGGGCTTTAATACCCTTATAAACTATACACAAAACCAGCCTTTTACAGCAAGAACAGCTCTTAAACTCTTAAAGGAAACTTTCTGGGGAGATTTCGGTCTAAGTACTATAGTACTGATATGAGCAAATCAAGAAAAGACAAAAATCCAGCCATAGTTAGATACACTTCTGACTGATAATTGACAGTATATTTAAGGGACAATGCAAGCTGGTTATTAATGCAAAATAAAAACCCTCAGTCCGGATCCAGACCCTGGTGTAAAGTGGACTTTATTTAGCAAATAATTAATGCATTATTAAAAAGTAAATAATTATTTCAGATGAAATTATTTTATTATGTAAGAAGCCAGAGAGTAGTGATACCAGACATGACATTATGTAGAAAAATATGCCAAACAACTATACAGTTTACCAGTTATTATGCCAAAATATATGAGCAAAGAATGCCACGACTGACCAATCAGCAAATGTGTCACGATTCATAAGTATAATGTAAGAGCGCCAAGAACAAAATATCAGACAAGACATCGGACAAAACAGTAGGGCTGGGACAAAACGTTGTTTATCGATTAATCTACCGATCATTTTTTTCCCGATTAATCAAATAATCTTTTCCCTCCCGGTTAATCTATTGATCTTTTTATAGTAGTTGATTAATCCTTTGGTTAATTTACCGATAAATAATAACCAGTAATTTACCAATTATTAATAACCGTAACTAATCTATGAACTTTTTTCTAATGATATTATTTATTTATTTATTTATGATATATTTATTTATCATAAAAGATACGGTTTACGGGTTGTAGGTATGCCTAATTAGGAAAGGTGTTTAATATATATATATATATATATATATATATATATATACACACACAATATTGATGTGCTACTTTTATATTGGTACATATTAATATTATAAACTAAATTAAAATCAAATTAAATAAAAATATCAAATACAAATTTATCTTGTAAATGTCAGTCTTTTTTGTCTCAATAATTTTGAATATTGACTGTTTTTATTTATATCTATATTCATGCAGTGCATCTATAATACAACAGAATGTTACTTTTATACAGAATGATGCCTTAAATGGATCAAAAGTGACAGTGAAGACTATTATACTGTTGCGAAAAACTCCATTTCAAATAAATATTGTTATTTTTACATTTAAATTCATCAAAGAATCCTGAAAAAAAAAACATTATCAGGGTTTCCACGAAAATATTAAGCAGCTTTTTCAACATCGATAACAGTTTCTTGAGCAGCAAATCATCATATTATTATGATTTCTGAAGGATCATGTGACACTGAAGACTGGAGTAATGAT